TTGAGGAAAGGTCAAAGATGAAAAGGAATGCAACTAATAGACAGGGGGTTACATGGTGTGAATGTGAAAGAGATAACTGAGAATAGGGAGGATTGAGGAAAGTACAAAAGATGAAAGTGAATGCAACTACTACACAGGGGGTTACATGGAGTGAAAGTGAAAGAGCAGACTGAGAATAGGGAGGATTGAGGAATAGACGAAAGTTGAATGGGAATGCCACTAGTACGCCGGTGGTACATGGAGTGAAATTGAAAGAGAACTCTGGGAACAGGCAGGTTTGAGGAAAAGACAAAAGATGAATGGGATTCAAGCAAACTTAGATAGTGACTGATGCTGCATTTAAACTTTCGAAGATTATATTCACGATGGAAACAAGGAAAACGGAATGGATTCCACAGTCGTGAAAATTGCGAGTAAAGAAACTCGGTATAGAAATGGCGGTTGTATTTATCTATTTAAATAGGTAAAGGGTGGGACCTAGATGCCAATTTGCTTAAATTCATGTAGCCGGGGCACCAGAAAAAAAAAGAGAAGATCGTCAGAACATTTGCCATAGAAATATTTTTAGAAAAGGCAGTGGGAAGCTTCGTCACGTCGCCGAGAAAGTCACTAAAGTCGAGATGCCATGTCAGGATCGAATATGTTTTCTTGGTTTTAATCTGTCAATGGATAGAATAGATATTTTACTCCTATTTCTTGAATGCTAAAGAAAGTCACTATATTATGATAACGATAATGTGTTCGGGGAATAAAATCCGAACATCATTAAAGAGAAAACAGATTTGTTTGGCAAAAGTTTTATGGTTTCACTTCCTGTTTTTGTTCTTATTGCTTCCAAAAACTTAAAAAAAACTACTTTTGAGTTTTTTCGGTGGTTTTATAATGAATTATTAATATTTTATATTTTATAATGAATAATTATACTATTTTCTAGTGTACAAATTATTTCTAGTGTTGCTAAATATTATAATATTTAGCTGAAAATGGGAATGCGTAAACTCATCCAGTTACGATCAATAGCTCGCGAAATAAGTACTCAACAATTTCACTCCACTGTAAGCAGGCGTTGATACCAATAACGGTTAGGGCAATGATGATGTTGGTAATCATGATGATGATAATGATGCTTGTAAGAACCTATTTTTTTTTTTTCTGGTATGCAATGCACCCGCTCTCCTTACTGGTCGGCTTATCAACCCATTCCAAAACATGTAGGCAATCCTTGACATGTCACTGCCTCGTTTTCATTCTACAGGTAATACCTTTGTTTTTTTTTTTCTCTTGTATCTTTCTTTTTCTTCTTTAACATCTTTTTCTTCTTCTTGTTCCCTTTTCCCTTCTTTTTCCCTCTTCATTTTTTTCTTCTTTTTCATATTATTTTTTCTTTTTTGTCTGTTTCGGCAATGCCTTTTCCTTTTTCTTCTTGTCCGTTTTTTTTTTCGTTTGTTTTTCTAATTTTCTAATTTTTCTAATTCTTTTCTTTTTTTCTTGTTCCTTTTATTCTTCATTTCCTTCTTATTTTATTATTATTATTATTTTTTAATAATTTCACCCCAAGCAAGGTGATAGTGCCACTAATACGCAAGTGGTTACTGGAAGTGAAAGTGAATGAGAAGATTTTAGAAGGAACAGGAAATAATTGTATAACACTCTATTGCTGTTCAAATGACTGGGGAGAAGTGTGAACCGGTACATTGGTGACCCTATGTCCTCAATATCCTTCTTTTTTTTGTCCTCTCTTTCTTTTTCCTCTCTTTTTCTTGGTTTTCTTTTTCTTGCTTTCCTTTTTCTTCTTTTACTTCTGAATTTTCAACCTTTTTTCTTTTTCTTCTACCAAATCATGCACATAACCCTCACCATTCCACACACCTATAGTTTCTTCATTTTTTCTTCTTCCATTTCTTCTTCTTCTTCTTTTCTCTTTTCTTCTTCGCCTTCTTCTTCTTCTTTTTCTTTATCCCCCTCTTCTTCTTTTTCTTCTTCCGCTTCTTCATCTTCCTCTCCTTCTTTTTCATCTTTTTTCTTCTTTATCTCCCTCTTCTTCCGCTTCTTCTTCCACTTCTTTTTCTTCTTCTTCTTTTTCATCTTCTTTTTTCTTATTCTCCTTCTTCCATTTCTTCTCCTTCTTTTCTTCTTCCACTTTTTCTTCTTTTTCCTCTTCCTCCTCTTCTTCCACTTCTTCTCATCGTTCCACTCTTCTTGTTGTTCTTTTTCATCTTTCTCTCCTGCTCTTTCTTCTTCTTCTTCTTCTTCTTCTTCTTCTTCTTCTTCACTTCCTGTTTCCAAATATATTCTGTGTAGGAAAATATACTTTGAGCAGAAGTGGTGTTTTACTGGTTTGCTAGCTGACTTATTCAGCGCAAATGTAACAGGTAAATTCCCACCTTTTCATTGCCTCTGACTGGCTCCGATCTTTTTATAGGTACAGCCGTCATTATATATAAATGCATTTCTATCACTCTTCTTTTAGTAACACTATTTTCGCTACTCTTCTTACGCATTTGTTTACAAGTGTGAACCAAAACCCACTTCTGAACCTCACCTACGCTTGTTTACAATGAATCTTGTCTGAAATAAATCTCAAAGAGATTTCCCCATTTTCTACCTGCCGGTTATCCATAGCCGAGCTTTCTCAATTGCTTACATGTATATATATATATATATATATATATATATATATATATATATGCACACTTACTTAGTAATAGTAATAATACATCACAAATGGCGATTATTGAAAGAAAAGAGCAAAAAGGAGAAAAAAAAGAACAAAAGGTAAAGGGCGAGTGAAAAAAATTTGAAAATGATCACGGCACCCTACACTCACGCACATCCGCGCAGATGGGCACATTGCAAAGGGCAAACGATGGGCAATACATAAGTAAAAAAGAAATAATCGCTCATTGGCAGTAAATTGCTCATACCCTACTGAAAACACTACAAAACAATACTAAATGACAAAATTTTACATGAAAAAATATATATATATATATATATATATATATATGCATAAAAAGAAATAATCTGAGAAATATTGGCATGTGGGTGATGAAATTGCTCATACCCCTACTGAAATTCCCTGGTTCTGGGGACGGACAGGTAGTTCCCCGAACAATCTTCCCGCGAACCACTCTGGATTCAAAAACTCGGTGATTCCCATCACTAAAGGTAGTATATTCCAATAATCAGAAAAGGCCTAAATGATAACCCTCTACGAAATTTTAAATGTTGAACCTTTCTCAAAATATATATATATATATATATATATATATATATATATATATATATATATATATTCATATATTATTTTCATTGAATAATATAGGTATATTAAATTTATTTTTATCCATTTCTAGCTACCTTCTAACTTTAGGAGGCGCTGTAGCCAGGTCAGGCCAAAATGAATTGCAAAAGACAAACTTACTAATTTGTTATGATTAAAACCATTCAGGAACAGTCTAACCCAGTGAGCGAAATAAACCTCCCCTGAAGAAGGCCGGATATACAACGTGAAAAAAGTTCAAAAGCGTCTCTAAAGCTCATCAGAACATTTTTTCCATGGAAATAAGGATGGTTCTAATGAGTTTTAGTTCCCCGAACCTCTCTCTCACTCTATCGTTATTTCCATGGAAAATGTTTTGATTCTCTTAGTTCCACCAGTTTCTCTACATCTCTCGCTACGTTACCATGGAAAATGTTCAGATGGAAGTTCCACCAGTTCAGACCTTACATCTTCCCGTTATTTCATGGGGTTCAGAAGCTCCAAAGTTCCACCAGTTCAGACCAAGTGACGGTTACACACCTGGCCCAGTGTCGGATCCTTTGGTTACGGCCAACGGTGACAAATCCTGGGTCCAAATTCCGCCCCCTTTGGTCAGATTCCATCGGTGAATTAAAGCAACTATTCACTGTCGACCCACGCATCTTCCAGACGGGAACCACTGCCGATATGGAACCGATTCAAATAAAATAAAAACTCACGACACCAAACAAAATTGGTGATTAACAACCTTTTATATCTTAAAGTCCGTTACATAAAAAACAAAATTCTTGAACCGCTCTAGGAACCTGTTATAGAAAATTCAATAAACAGAAAATGTCGGAGTGTGGTTCAGTTCGACACTGGGGCTAACCCATTCGCAGTTGATTCCCTCCGACTTGAGTTGTATTTCTTCTTCTTCGTCTGCTTGGGCTGGTAAACTTTGGTGATTTCTTATTTCAACTTGCAACCTTTCGACTGAACTTTAAAATATATATATATATCTTATATACCATATATATATATATCTTTTGTCGCTGCCGTCCGGGGATGAACTATCGATTATTTTTGACGCCATTGAATAATATTTCTCGATAATTCCAAAACTGCATTAAATTTCTTTTTTATAATAATCATTTCTAGTTCTCTAATTATCCTTTTCTTCCGCATGTTAAGACCAATTGTTATTGGTCGAAATTCATCAAAGGGACCAATTGTTATTGCGAACATCCTTCCCCGCTGTTTGCGGGCGTGGTTACATCGTTCTCCAATTTTAGTTTTTTGGACTTTGTCAAACAGCCCGCTGCTAATTGTCTTGACTTTAGAAAGGATCTTTTCGCCTTCTTCGTCCTCCAAAAGCAATTTCTCTTTTTACCTCTTTTGTTTTCCTGGGTGAAAATCTTAATTAGAACATTGAAACTCTACTTTATTAACTGGGTGATAACAGGTCAAGATCTGTATATCGTTCCACCGGTAAAATAAAACCTATTGTTCTAAAACCAAAAAACATGGCACGTGGAAGTGGAACAGTCTAACCCAGTGAGCTTAAATAAAGGGCTTCCAATTGTTCGAAACATTAAACAATCTCCAACTGAAATACAGGCCTTTCTTTGTACAACGTCCGAAAAAATGAATTATTTTAATAAATTTGGCGAAAAAAAATTAACAACCTGGATAATCTCTGAAAAACTAAACTGGTGGAACTAATAATGCAAGGTGCCACACAGCTCATCAGAACGTTTTTCCATGGAAAATGTTAATGAGAAAATAGTTCAGTTCAATGCTAAGCATCTTCCATATCGTTATTTCCATGGAAAATGTTCAGACTTTAGTTCCACCAGTTCAGAAGCTAAGCCTCTCTCTACTCTATCGTTATTTCCATGGAAAATGTTCAGATGAGCTCCATTCCTTCAGATCTTTTTCCACCAGTTCAGTTACCTTTGAAGATGTAAGATGAGCTCTCTCTGTCCCACCAGTTCAGACTTTCGTTATTTCCATCCATTGAAAATGTTCAGATGAGAGTTCCAGACCTTTACACTTATCGTTATTTCCATTGAAGATTCAGATGAGCTCCACCTTTACCAGTTCAGACCTTTACAGCTAAGCATCTCTCTACTCTATCGTTATTTCCATGGAAAATGTTCAGATGAGCTCCATTCCTTAGTTCCACCAGTTCAGACCTTTACAGCTGTGACGGTTACACACCTGGCCCAGTGTCGGATCCTTTGGTTACGGCGCCAACGGTGACGTCGCTCCTCCTGGTCGCTCCTCCTGGGTCCAAGCGTGCCGCTCCAACCCTTTGGTCAGATGATCACCAGCCTCGCCTTTCCCGACTCGCTTCCAATACCTGGTCACTAAAGCAACTATACCGATCTCCGGTCTGTCTACCCACGCTGTGTTTAGATCTTAGACAGACGGGACCAGCAGGATCGGGGCCGATACAAGTTGAGTCCGACGGGGGTGGCAAAACACAAATAAAATAAAACTCACGACACCAAACAAAATTGCTGATAAAAGGGTAACAACCTTTTTATATCTTAAAGTCCGTTACATAAAAACAAAAGTGTTCTCATTTCCCGACCCGCTCTGTGGACTATGGCAACAAGCTTCTATCACACAATAGAAAAATGTCGAATTACCTACTTTCTAGAATCATGTATGTATGTCGGAGTGTGGTTCAGTTCGACACTGGGGCTAATTTCTATCGATCATTCGCAGTTGATTCGTCTCTCCGACTTGAGTTGTATTTCTTCTTCTTCGTCTGCTTGGGCTGGTAGTTTTCCTGTTTCAACTTGGTGGAAGATTTCTTGTTTCAACTTAGCCGCAACTCTCTGTCGTCTGGGGTGGTCTCTTCTCACTGCCGTCCGGAGCTGAACTTTAACTTCTCATCGACTTTCGGCTTGTCTGCAGCTCCAATTCTTCTCAGGCTTTCAGGCAATCTTCTTCTTCATCTACTTGGGCTGGAAGTTCTTCTTCTTGTCTGAGGGTTCTTTCTCGCTGCCGTCCGGGGATGAACTGATTTTTGTCGATTGGGGCCCTGCTTTTTATTGACGCCGCAACAAACTGGGGGTGGGTCTGTCGGCGTCAGGGTTTTCTCGATAATTCAAAAACTGCATTAATTCTGTCTTCTCCATTATCGCTATTATTTTTCGCCCTACTTCCTCGCAGTACCTTTGGTGGGGCGGCGCACATCCATCTCTCTTAGTCTCTCGTATGTCAGGTGACCGCTTTTCAACCAATCGTTCCTGATCGAGCATTTCTTTCCTTTTCTTCCGCAGGTCACGTGATCGTATTCGACCAATTGTTATTGGTCGAACATTTTTCTTTTTCTTCCGCAGGTCACGTGATCGTATTCGACCAATTGTTATTGATCGAACATCCTCTCCCCTCTGTTTGCGGGCGTGGTTACATCGTTCTTGTTTAAAAAAAACAAAATCAATTTTTCCTTTTGCACGTACGCAAAATGACAATCTTTGGCTTTCTCTCACCTGGACTTTGTCAAACAGCCCGCTGCTAATTAGTCTTGACTTTAGAAAGGATCTTTTCCGCCTTCTTGGCGTCCTCTGTGAGCCAAAAGCAATTGTCCCTCTTTTTACCTCTTTGTTTTTCCTGATAGTCGAAAATCTTAATTATCTACATTGAAATGTCTCTACTTTATTAACGTGGGTGTCCAATTCTTAACAGGTCAAGATCTGTATATCGTTCCACCGGTAACTCCCCTCAACCCAAAAACACTTTTCTCTGATTAAAAATTTCATTTCTATTGTTCTAAACCAAATTGATAAAGGAGTCTCTCCACGCAAAAAGTCGGTCAGATGCTTTGACGATATCTGGTCTACATCAGCGGCCCGTTTTGATATCATGTCTTTTTTTCCCTTTCTTTCTTCTTATTATTTATAATTCTATTCTTCCAATTGTCTTTCGAAAATCAGCCAAGACGCTGACCTAAATCTCTTTCTGACTCCTATCTCCACCCTCAATTGGGTCATGCGTCATACATTTCTCTTTCTTTCTTTTTCTCCCCTTCCTTCCTTCCTCCTTTCTTTCCTTCTTCTTTCCTTAGGATCGTCTAGTACACTCTTAGTGAATTATTTTCAATTCAGTTATTTTCCGTTTTTAAAAAAAAAAAATTAACAACCTGT